ATATATATATATATATATATATATAATTTTTAAATATATATATATTAATATATATTATTATTTTTTCAAATTACATCATATAAATCCTGTTAATGGCGACCCGATAAAGGGACTAAGCCGAGAAGAAAATGAATGAATAAAATCCTGTTTGGATAAAAATCATGACTTTTCATAAAAATATGACTTTTTTACGAAATATTTTGTACTTTAAAATAATTATGGAAGGAAATTTTTTATTTAAATTCTTTTTTGTTAAAATTGATGTTTACATTTACACAATCATACAAATTTTTCCCGTGTTTTTAAGTATGTCAAGGAGCTGAGTGTGTGTGTGTGTGTGGCGCTGCCTTCACACAGTAACTGATATCAATTGAAGAAGATCTCCCCATTCACTTAATTTTTCTTCTTTCATTTGAATAAATCCAATTTTCATATGTCCAGCCAAACGTGCTCTGATTGGCCCGTTGCCTTCACCGCGCCCCTCTGATTGGACTTCTGTTCCCGTGCAGATTTTTTTCTATTAAGAATGCGCTTGGTGAATGGCCGCGCGTCGCAGCAGCGTCCGGCGAATGTGATTGGTCGAACGCGTAGGGGCGCTTGATTCTGATTGGTCGACGACCGATGCCCGGTGTCCGGGTAAGATGGCGTCGGAAGAGCAGTGCTCGGCACCACCTCGATGGCGGTCGATATCCTTAACCCACGTAGAATATCCGGCAGGTAAGCTCATTTTTTAATCGTCGTTTTCCCAGCAAAGCCGTTTATATCATCGTACGGCATAGAATTCGCGGCGTAGCTTCTGTAGCACATCGCTTAGCTGAATGGACACAACCAGGGTTGGGTTGCCAAATAGTGTGCTCGCTTTACACACTGCATTCTGCGCTCCACAGGGAACGAAACGGTTGCTGCCAAATAGTGTGCTTGCGTAGTGCGCATGCGCGATGGTCATGTACGCTCCCTACTACACCGGGATTTACTTTCTCACTAATATTGACGGGTTATTATTTTACCGTTTACCTAAATTAAAGCTTGAATTGATAGCCATACCAAATATACTAGTATTAAATGCACGTGTGAGCGTCTGATATAAGAACATAAGCCCCAAGTGCTGCTTTAAGTTTGAGCAAAGACTCGTGGCTCTGGTGGGTTAATCCAGTTCATTCCCGGTTGCATCACACCCATTCTGGGTCCTGTCGTTCGTGAGGGTCTCCCTGGGTTTGGAACTATATAAACTGACCCCTAAAAATCTGGAGCATGTCAGAACAAGTCGGAAATATGCTAAGCTTATGGCAAACAAACACAGAATGTGGAAAATAACACGACTATCTTCCGTGTTTTACGCGACTGTCACTTTAGTTTGACGTGCTAACATTAAAATGTCATGCATGGTGTAAAACATGCAAACGGTAATTAATTCTGAATGTGCAGGTTTGCAAATAGGTCAGATACGAAATGTCCCATTTTTGGCTTTTTTTGCAGAAGTAAATGTGATTCATGCATTTGTTTACTTAATAGTTTTTTTAAAATAATGATTGTAGTGTTATATAACACACACACACACACACACATATATATATATATATATATATATATATATATTTATATATATATATATATATATATATATATATATATATATATATATATATATATATATATATATATATATATATGTAAAATGAGACTACATTGATTTGACGTGATAATATAACAGAATAAATGATCATATTCCACTTATTTATACTTGAAAGTATTAACATCTAGCTGGCGCATTGGTAAAATCTAGTGTGAAATACAGGGGTGAAGTGTAAAGATTAAAATGACAATATTGTGAGCTTTAAGGTGCACCTATTTTACTTCTTTTTAAGATGTAAGATAAGCTTCAGGTGTCTCCAGAATGTGTCTGTAAACTTTCAGCTCAATTCTCATCAGATAATTTATTATAGCCTCCAAAATCTGTCCATTTTGCTGAGTACAGTGTAGCTACTTTTGTAGCCTGTGGCTTTAAATGCAAATGAGTTGCTTTGGATACGCCCACCGATCCCACTTCTCATCATGCCTTACGTCAGATAAACAGCAGTCAGTGACAGAGACAGACTCGGATAAAGCTGAAATACAGCTCATTAGTCAAAAATACCAAGTAAGTTTATTTGATGTATTTGTGGTGGAGTTTATTCAAGCCTTTCTGAAATTATGAGTCTCACACTAATCCTGTTTGCCAGGCCTGGATTGGCTAATCGGGAGCACCGGGAGAATTCTCGGTGGGCCGATCCGTTTTTTGGCCGTGAGGGCCGGTGTTTCTAACCGCTTGCACTCTCAGCAGTTGCACTTTTTTTCATTTATTTATTTATTTGACCATAGCCTCACTCTTTTTGTTCATTATTTTGCCGCAGCCCCGCTCTTTTTATTTATTTTCTCGCAGCCCCGTGAGCAAAATGCAGCCCGCAGGTTAATGATTCCACCCCAAAAAGCGGCACCCTAGTAAATATTAATTAATATTAATGAATATTACACCTGCTCAATGAAAATCAGATGATTCACTACATTAATAAATCTGACATAACTTGATCAGAAATCTAAAAATTGGAGAAAAAGAGTAGACATCAATAGCAGCAGATAACAGTGCGATAATTATTTTTTATCCCAAACACATGACCTTCACAGCGCCATCTTGGTCTAGTGGTTAGCACGTTGCGTTACGACGCCGCCGTTTCGAGTTCGAACCTTACCAGGATTATAATTTTTTTTTTTCATTTTTAGTGTTAAGACATATACTGTTTGGGTTACTTATGTAGGGGTACATATTTTTGTGTGTGTGTGTGTGTGTGTGTGTGTGATGACCGTTACAAAGGACTGGATATCTATAAAGCATTAATGTTCTCATATTTATGAAAGACATTTGAAGTTCTAAAGCAGCTGTGTCCTTGAAAAAGACGTGTTAGTGTCATTAGAAACTGAATTGGAAACAACGTTTTTTTTTAATATAGTCAGTCGTCGACTGAGGTGGGCCAGTCTAAGGCTTGAAACTCCAGAGCTAACAAGGAGTCCCACTCCGGCCCTGCTGTTTGCAGTACACAAACGCATATTAGCATTTACTGACACCAAGCAGCCGTGGTGATTTTTAGCGGTTAATAATTACATATCAATTTTACTGTCTTTATTACTAAAATGCTCCATTTTAAAAGCGTTTTAACCTTATTGAACTTCTAAAAATCACTGAGAGTTGGAACATATATTTTAATCCAGTTATTTTTGCAAAAAATGTTCTGTGTATATGTGTGTACATGTTATTATAGAAATATGGTGCCTGTCAATCAATTTGGTTGGCGGGGAAAACCACATTCCTACATCACGTTGCGGTGGGCCTCAAAATCACTGGGATTTGGATCCTATTTTAACGTCAGGAAATAGAAACCCAAAAAGTCTTTTTATTTATTTATTTTTTTTTTCATCACCCCAATATGACTGTGGACACACTATACCTACAAAGTCCAGTCCAAACAGCCAACAGAAGTTGATTTTCATCATAGGTGTCCTTTAAATTGAATCTTTCAATGGGTCTTCAAATGATTCTTGTTCTAAATATGCTGTAATTTATACGTATCATATAATATATTGTTACACTTTATTACACTTTAGTGGGTGTCTTCTGTTAACCGTGGTGCAGATGTATGACATCTAGCTTGTTTAAACTCCAATCACAATCATATTTTGATGTTTGCGAGTTAAATTGTCATCCTTGTGATTTAACATGTAAATCCACACGATCCTAGTCCTAAAGTTTGCCTAATGCAATGTTGACATTTAATTAACCTTTTGTATGGATTTTATGTGTCATAAACGGTTCTCTACTGGTTGTGAAATGGCCCACTTTCAATGCTTTATGCTCAGGGGATGTTTTTAAATGCAGTCTAAGACTGTTCTCCTGGATTTCTGTGCTATGCATGGATTAATCTTTAGTGGAGTTCATTACAATTCCCCACACTTTCTTTGGCCATTAGATTTGACCTGCAGATTTGAAGCAGTTAAGAATTACAGCGATTTTACTGTCTTTATTACAAGCATGCTCTGTTTTAAAAAAAGTTTTAAACTTATAAAATTAATTCTTGAGGTGCAGCTGGTCACAGAGAGTTCTAACATATGTTTTAATCCCAGTGTCTTTGCAAAAAATGTTCTGTGGACATGTGTATACATAATATTATGGAGACACTCCGCACTCCTACATCATGTTGCGTTGGGCCTCAAAATTACTGTGATTTAGATCCTGTTTTAACGTCAGTAAATAAAAAAAAAAGAGACTTGTTGTGTATCTATCACACCAATATGACTGCGGACACACTATACCTACACACAGTTCTGTCCAAACCGCTTACAAAAGCTGAACTTTCTCATTTTTTTGGGTAAACTGAAATGACTCTACAATTGTACCTGGTCAACTATAATTCGAACTCCACATTGCATATTCTGCGATGTGAATATTGCGCATCCACACATTACGATATTGATGCTAAAACGATATATTGTGCAGCCCTAATGGCAAGGTTGACATGTGCATGGATTTGCTCAGAAGCGTAATAAGATTAGTTTAAAAAATAAACAACTTTTACGTTTTTGTTTAATAAACGCACTCCGCAAATTACCTTGAACACGGTCTTGACCACAAGTGTTTTATCATATAATGTGAGCTGGTGCTTAAATAAAATCTTCCCTTTTTTTTGCTGTCCAGGCGATCTGACGGGGCAGGTATTGGCCTACATGAGCCTGCTGCCCATCGCGATCCTTGTCGGATTCGTCACTCTGATCGTCTTTAAGCGAGAACTACATACGGTAAGTCAATGACATCATAAACCAGTATGGTAGAGTGGAGGAACTATAACGTTGATTTGTATGCAAAACCCGGAGGCGAGTTAGCATTTTAGCAGTTCCGGTTCCCTCATCCCAAAGTCAATACGTTTTTTTTAATGGGATTTCAGTAAAATCACTTAAATAAGGTTTGTGGTTAACACAAACTCAAGATACTTTTTTAAAATTAAAAAAAAAATTTTTTTTATTGGTTTTAATGAACATACAAACGTAAACAAAAAAGGGCAAAGACAATTGTATCAGTAGACAAGTTTAGCAGCAAAAGGCAAAGAGAAAAAAAAATCAATAATTAAATAAATAAATAAAAAAAAAATAATAAAGAAGTAAACCTACAAACAAAAAACATAATACACAAAGTTATGCCGTGGTTAAGGTCACACATATTGTGAAAATACATCAGATGTCAGAGGATCATTAGAGGCATCCATATTTTTTGAAAGGCATCCCCTTTGTTTTTTAAGTAGTATGTATATTGTTCCAAGAGCATTGTTACATTCAAGAGTTTTATGAACAGTTCAAATGTTGGAGGTCTTTGTTGGTTCCAGTTGTGCAAAATGCATTTTTTTTTGCTAGATAGGAGATGATGCCGAGTCTCTTTATAGAAATAGGATCAAGTGTCTTGAAGTTCTGTACCAAAGAGGTATAGTGTTGGTGTGTTGTCCAATGGAACATGCAAAGCTTTCGCTGTAAAGTCCTGTACTGCTTTCCAGAAAAACTTTTAGCTTTTTGCATTCCCAAAAAACGTGCATGATTGATCCTGAATAGGTTTTACATCTGTGACACATGGATGATACATTAGGGTACATTTTGCTCAAACGAAGTGGGGTCAGATATGTCCTATGTATAAATTTATAATTTTGTTCAATTATTCTGTTATTGGAAAGGGGAATGAGAGTATTCTGGCATATAGCCTGCCACTGATCGTCATTAAAATTATATCCCAAATCTCTTTGCCACACGTTTTTAAGTGATCCCAGTGAAGAGTTGTAATATTCTAGTAGTGCAGAATATATCTCCGAGATTAACTCAAGATACGTTCATGTTTATTTACGTAATAAACGTAAAAATAACACAAAAATATTTTAAGGGAAAAGTGTCTTTTGGAGAAGTTTTACAATCTCATTGATACAGTTAAAAGATCTAATATGACTTTGAATATATGACTTTATATAATGAATATGACTTAAGTTTTTTTGTACGATGCATGATTAATAAAGTAAGATAGATATTTGAAGCTGATAATACATGCTACCCCTCGAAGTTAACTACTACTCTATTGAACAATGTAGAAAAAGGCGAAGCAGCTTCAAATGTCTATTAGAGAAAACTGCTGCCTTAATTTTTAGTTTGTTTATTTCATTAGTTTTATATTTAATTTCTTTATTAGAGTGGTACTTCATTCCGATTGACATTTGAAGCTGACAAAATGTGCTAATCCTGTTTTTTTAGATGAAATATGACAGATTGGGCGACCGGTTGCATATTCTGAGGAGGTAGTACAGATCGTCAGAATAACAAATGAAACTAACCATATTGATTTTGTTAGCTCATATTGCTAGTTTTGTGGTGATCTGTTCATCTGTGGATGTTATTTAAAAAAAAAAAGTTTGTCCTTTAATCTAAAATTGAAATTTGAAAATGCACTTCCTGTTTGTTTTCAGTTAAATTCTCAGATTAGGTCTGTCTGAGGTATTGGGCGGGGCTAACATACTTAATCACGCCCCCTCCTGCTGTCAGCTCTGACAACAAACAGAAATGATGATGAGGAGGAGGAGGCTGTAATAACTCTCCCCAAAGCCTTTCCCCATCTTTCTGAATGAAATGCCTATTTTACTACATCCAATCAGCTTGCAGTAAAAAAACACGCCCATAGTCTCATTTAATATTTAGTTTCTTTAGGAACTGTCTTAATATATGGAAAAAACAAACAGTCATAGATTCTGTTTCATGTGGCATTAAAACATGAATAATTCAAATAAGCTGTGCCGAATTGTCACACTCAGTGGAAATGAGCCAGATTACACTTTTCATCTTTTTGTCTTTGATCTTCTTCTCAGATCTCATTTTTCGGGGGTCTGATCATGAACGAGGGCTTAAACTGGCTGCTCAAACACATCCTACAGGAGCCTCGGCCGTGCGGAGGTGAGTTCACCTTAAGTCCTGCTCTTTTTTTATTGAATATAACAAGTTATAAGCTGTCTAAATAACTAACATTAGTAATGCCCCATTCACACGGGGCTTCAGTATCAACACTTGACAAAGGGCGTGTCTGAAGGTGGGGCTGACGGGATCGTCATAGCAGCGTCAGCCAATGAAGTTAGTCAGCAATAGGCCACCGTCTGAGCTGGTGTATTTGCATACAGCGATCTGATTGGCTAACGCTTCCGTCAGCGCTTAAAGTTGAGCAAGTCCCAACTTTTGCAGCGGGCAACGCCTCTGAAGCGGTGCCAACGTATCCACAATGCAGTTCGGCGACGCCTGACGTCACCCATTCAAAGTGAATGGTAAGCGTTGATGCTGACGCCCTGTGTGAATGTGGCGTAAATCTCCAGCTGCTCGTTTATGCAAATTTCTAATCATGGCAGCAACTCGATGCATTTAGGAATCTCCACATCGTCAAGACAATCTACATCAGTTCAAACCGAGCATCAGAATGGGGAAGAAAGGTGATTTAAGTGATTTTGAATGTGGCATGGTTGCTGGTGCCAGATGGGCTGATCTGAGTAATTCAGAAACTGGTGATCTGCTTGGATTTTCACGCACAACCATCTCTAGCGTTTACAAAGAACGGTCTGAAAAAGAGAAAATATCCAGTGAGCGGCAGTTCTGTGGGCGCTAACGCCTTGTTGATGTCGTAGGTCAGAGGAGAATGGCCAGACTGGTTCCAGCTCAAAGAAAGGCAACAGTAACTCAAATAAGCACTCGTTACAACCGAGGTCTGCAGAAGAGCAACTCTGAACACACAACACGTCCAACCTTGAGGCGGATGGGCTATAGCCGCAGAAGACCACACCGGGTGCCACTCCTGTCAGCTAAAAACAGGAAATTGAGGCTACAATTCACACAGGCTCACCAAAACTGGACAATAGAAGATTAGAAAAACGTTGCCTGGACTGATGAGGCTCGATTTCTGCTGCAACATTTGGATGGTCGGGTCAAAATTTTGTGTCAACAGCATGAAAGCATGGATCCATCCTGCCATCAACGCTTCAGGCTGGTGGTGGTGGTGTAATGGTATGGGGGAAATTTTCTTGGTACACTTTGGGCCTTTTAGCACCAATTGAGCATCAATTGTCAACACCACAGCCTACCCGAGTATTGCTACTGACCATGTTCATCCCTTTATGACCACAGTGTCTATCTTCTGATGGCTACTTCCAGCAAGATAACGCTCCGTCATAAAGCGCGAATCATCTCAGATTGGTTTCTTCATGTGACAATGAGTTCACTGTACTCAAATGGCCTCCGCAGTCACCAGATCTCAATCCAATAGAGTACCTTTGCGATGTGGTGGAAGAGGAGATTCGCCTCATGGATGTGCAGCCTACAAATCTGCAGCTACTGTGTGATGCTATCATGTCTATATGGAGCAAAATCTCTGAGGAATATTTCCAGTAGCTTGTTGAATTTATGCCACGAAGGATCAAAGCAGTTTGGAAGGCAAAAGCGAGTCCAACCTGATTAAGTAAAGTGTACTGAATAAAGTGGCCGGTAAGTGAACATTGCACACAATCTACTACTGCTTTTTCTGCCAGAAAACGTGATGCAAAAACAGGATAAACTGCTTTATTGATTTACATGTCCACCAGACGGTCTGAGTAGGAGGTTCTTGAAAAGGGTATTTTGCAAAACTGGACCAGACTTCATGCCAGTAGACACAATTCTGCTAAACAAGACCGCGTTTAGAGACACAATACACTGCTCATGGACTAATCCTGGATTTTACCTGTGACCTTTTAGTTTCCAGCCTAGATCTTCAGCTCAGTCAAATCTGCCACTTGCATTGAACTTGGCTATATTTTAGATGTCTTATAACAAAAACAGGATGTCTGTGGGGTTCACTGCCTTTCTACACCTCCCTTTCTTCATGTGTTCAATACTCTTTCCCCCCTCCTTTCATTTTATTACATGTAACTTAATTATTAAACTACTTCGATTTGTTTTCTTTGCATATATTGATTTATTTGGTTGTTACCAACATCCAGTGTAAATATTAAATCAACACCACCTTTAGAAATATGCTCAGAAAAATGGTGATGTGTTCAATACTTGGTTTACTCACTAAATGTTACCATTTTATTTTTGAATAAGAGTAATTTATTTATATTGTTATAATTTTTGTTTATATTTTGCATGTTGCTGCTTAACTAGTACTAGTAGCTTGTGTGCATGTGTAATGTTTTACTGAATTGTGTGTTGTGTCTCTTTAACAGGTCACAGTTCAGTCACGACAGAGTACGGGATGCCCTCCAGTCACTCGCAGTTCATCTGGTTTTTTGTTGTATACTTTTTTCTTTTTCTTTATTTAAGGTAAGCCGTTTTTATTTTTATTTAAATGCTTTTACTACAAACGAACGTAGACAAGATAAAGATTATTGTGTTTTTATTACTGTTTTAAAAATTAACCAGAAGTTGTGTAATTATTCATATATAGGTAATGTCAAAAGTGTTAGCCCCCTGTGAAATCTATAGTCTTTTTCAAATATTTCTGAAGTGATGTTTAACAGAGCAAGGACATTTAATGAGTATTTCCTATTAAAAAAAAAATTTCTTTTGGTGAAAGCCTTATGGTCAATAATATTAGCCCATCTTAAGAAACATCCATACACACTCATTCACACTCGTACACTACAGACAATTTAGCTCACCTAATTACACTATAGCGCATATGTTTGGACTGTGGGGGAAACCGAAGCACCCGGAGGAAACCCACGCCAACACGGGGAGAACATGCAAACTCCACACAGAAATGCCAACTGACTCAGTTGAGGCTCGAACCAGTGACCTTACTGTGAGGTGATCGTGCTACCCACTGCGCCAGTGTGTCAAGTGTTCTTTTTTTGTCTAGTTAACCTTTAAATTGTGCTTTGCGCTGAATACTAGCAATAATGTAAAATAATATTACGTATTGTAATCTTGGAAAAGACAACAGAAATTTGTTGTTAGAAATAACACATTTAACCTATCATACTTAAAAATGTATTAAAGGTGCAGTATGTAAGTTTGACACCCAGTGGTTGAACTAGGTATTACATCAAAACTAACACAAGCACAGGTTGCCAGATTGAGGTTACTAACAGGAGTGAGTTAGGATCGAGCCTAAAGGCTGATTTATACCACATTCTAAATGAAAGCAACGACACACAATAGAAGGAATATTTTCCATATTAAAAGGAGCTTTTGTTCTAACCAACACCTGAAATGGATATATTAGAAACAGTTTCTATTTCTCACAGATGAACAACAGAAAACTGACAATGATCAACTCAGGTACACCTCATGTGCTTTATTCAGTGTTAAATGCTAATGTGAGTTTGAACGCCAGTTTACATCACAATTTTTGCCATACTACTGAAAGCAGCAGCAGATAGTTCACCTCAGATCCTGAAAATAAAATAAAACATTTGAAATTTAACATTACGACTGTGACTGGGTGCAAACCAACGCATATCAGTGATTCATCATCTACATTTATTAATCTTAAAGATGTTTAATATTTATTAATTACAATATAAGCCTTACCATTTCATTGGAGTGCAGTGAGTGCACTATTCTGTGCTTCTGAATTCATTCATTCATTGTTTGTCGGCTTAGTCCCTTTATTAATCAGGGTCGCCACAGCGGAATGAACCGCCAGCTTATCCAGCATTTTTATTTTTATGCATTTTTATGCTGCGGATGCCCTTCCAGCCGCAACCTATCTCTGGGAAACGCAGGGAGAACATGCAAACTCCACACAGAAACGTCAACCGAGCTGAGGTTTGAACCAGCGACCGTCTTGCTGTGAGGCGACAGCACTACCTACTGCGCCACTGCTTCGCCTTGCTTCTGAATTGCTGCATTTAAATTTCTATCGTGTTTAGTCTGATGCAAGCAGCCAAATTGCTTATCACTGCAAATCTCGTCGCGTTGTGTGTTGTTAGGGCATGGGGTTACAATGTAGCCTGCTCATCTAATGTTTACGTTCGTAATATATATTTATACTATTTGCTAATTAATTTTAATGTGGAACTCTGAATCTGCGTCTCATTTCAGAGTCTGCTACTCTCCACTGGAGGATGCATTTCAGTCACGGGTGCATGATTTGAGAGCCTTCATGACTGAATAAATAAATGAATGAATGAATGAAATATTATTGGCTAAACTGGCATTGGGTGGGTTAAATGACTAAAACAAAGCCAGATTTTCTGGCACGTAACGCACATGTTCAAAGCAGAATATCTGACTTCATTATTGTTTTTCAGATAAACAAGAATGTTCACTTAGCATGTTTCCTAAATATCTGCAAACAAATTATGCTGTTTTTATGCTTTAGAAGAGTCAAAAACTTGCATACAACACAACAATTAATCTTCTCTTTGAATTATTTTCTTAATAATTAAAACTTCACGAAGGTTAACAGCTTTGACTAAATTATTACATATGTTTTTTATTGATTTGAAAGAAGCCTTATAACGTCTGCATTTAACAAAATGTATTGTGAAAGCAGTAGTGCTGTAAAACATTGCAGTTTAAAATAGCTGTTTTCTAAATTAAGATTTAAAAATGTAATTTAGCTTAATTTAAGCATCATTACTACAGTCTTTAGTCTACAATGATCTTTCATGCTGCGTTCACACCAGACGCTGAACGCGCGTCAAGCGCGAGTGATTTACATGTTAAGTCAATGCAAACGCGCGAATAGACATCCTGCGGCGCAATACGCGTGAATGGCGCGGAGCGAATGACGCGAATGGCGCGGTGCGAATAGCGCGATACGCGCAAGGCGAATTGAGCGTTTGCGCGTTTGATTCGCTTAACGAGCGCTTCGCGCGAATCTCTTAGAGTTCGAAAATCTGAACTTCAGCGGACATTCGCGCTACATTAACCAATCAGAAGCTTGCTCTTGTGGGGGTGTGATTGTGACGTAGAACCTGTTGATGGTGTCCCGGGGGAAATCCTCCAGGCAACACCGACAGCAAGTCATCAAACTGGGCTTGGCTCAGTCAGAGGCACCGCTGAAAGTCTCCGTCATCCAGGTTCAGTTTCTGGAGGAGTTTATGAGCTCACAGAGCTGGATGCTCCTCTGAAAGGATGCAGTGGACTCATACAGGACCCTAAACGTATCGACACTGTTTTTCAGTCTCCATAAAGCACATTAACACTGTTATTTTCTTAATAAAATGCATGTTAGCCATTTAGCTATGAAGCTAGAGTCACCGGGCAGACAGAAGCCCTGCCCATCACTCGAATCCGCGTCTGTTCTGAAGTGAATTTGACACGCGAATGAAGCGGGGGTTGACGCGCGAATGAAGCGAGTAAACTCAAATGTTCACGTGGCTGTATACCGCGTCTGGTGTGAACACAGCATCAGAAATCTTTAAAATATCCTGATTTAATTATGTTTTGTATGTTAATAATGTGTCTAATTTGACTTGCCTTTTTCCCAGAATGCATCAGACGAACAATGCTCGGTGTGTTGAATTGTTATGGCGGCATATATTGTCCATCATGCTACTGGCCGTGGCGTTGTCTGTTTCATACAGCAGGTAATGTTTGTGTTTTGTTCAAATCAGCAGGGAATATCTTTCCTTCTCAGTTACAACACGCGTTCAAGTGAAATAGCTTTTTGAATGAGGATAAATCATGTGGGATTTGTTTTTATCCATTGTGAGTTTCCTATTGGTGAATGTCCTGTAAGTGACAGATTGATCCCGCCCTCAAACCACTAAGCACCAATGAGAAAAAGAAAATGGAAAAATGGGTGGGAGTTACATTTACATCAGTGGTCACCAACTTTTTTTTTATCACCGCGGACCGGAGCCAACGTTTGACAATTTTACCATGGCCCGAGGGAGGGGGGGTGGATGTATGTAGATTGCTAGGCAACCATCAACAGTTCTTTCAGAGGATGACAAGCTGACAAATCAAAACATTGCTGCATTTATTTATGGAGAAAGTTATAAAGCACTGCAGTGTTTGGGTGTTCTGCACTTTCAACTAGGTTCGCCTGGAAAGTGTGAGCACATTGTGCCGCTTGCTTAACAAACTTGCATGCAGAAAAGATGCAATATTTGAACATCCCCTAAGGCCGCCATCATTTGCGATCTCAAGCAGTTGGTCTTCTTGCACAGACATGCTGGATTCACCTGATTTGTTGACAAATGGGTTGCGGATCCATTCCTTGTCAGTTTGTGGGTCCTTCATTGAGCCTTTTCCCTCTTTAGCACAGAAACTTTCAAAAGAGCGTACTCACACTATGCTATCAGAACCGTGCCCAGGTGCGTTTCCCAGATCGTTTGAGAAGTGTGAGTGCGTTGAATCGGCCTCAGGCACAATTCACTTGGCCGGCCCTGGCCCGGTTGGAAGAGGTGTGCCAGAGCGTGGTTCACTTAGCTTTGGCGCGGTACGCGGTACGCTAACTGAGCCCGAAACTGAAGACGAGACGTGACTTTTAAGGGACTGTTTGATATGGATTTGTTAATCATTCTTACTGTTTAATGAATGCAAACTGTCGTAGATTATTAAAAACACAAACCCCTCACTGCACGACAGCTGCACCTTCAGCAGACCTCCTAATTCCTGCAGCACGAGGACTTTATGATTGTTTATGAGCACCAGAAGTGGCTGATCTGTTCGGCAAAATATTTGACTGTGTGTCACCGCATATCAAACAACTAAAGCGATATAACTAAAGAAATCTCCACTGTGCTGAATGAAAGCTCTTACTGAACAGCGCCTCATCTATGACGTAAGCATTAGACCCGAATATAATGTGAGTGCAGGCCGTCGGGGGAGACGGGAGGGGGGACAAGCGTGCTTCAGCCCGGTTCAAGGCAACTGTACATAGTGTGAGTACGGCCTTACTCATTTTGCTGCTTGTGGGTTAAATTTTGGCGCTCAAGTGACCGAGATGTAGGCAAGAGAATACGGTCATTTTTCAATATGAAAGGATTTTCAAAGAAAAAGATCGTTCAGACTCGAATAATAAATAAAAACAGAAATAATTAATGATTTCTTGTGCGGCCCGGTACCAATTGATTCACAGACCGGTACCTGGGGACCACTGATTTACACCGATTAAATTTTCACTGCGTTTTGTAGAATTTCATGTCTACACCACAGTCTTTTCAAAACGATCCTTTTCACATATCACAGATCCATTACAATTATGAATTTTGTCTTTTCCAATATTTCCCAAAAGATGTTTAACAGAGCAAGGAAATTTTTACAGTATTTTCTATATTTTTTCTTTTTCGAGAAAATTTTTTATTTTGGCTAGAATAAAGGCAGTTTTTGATTTTTATGAAACCATTTTAAGGTCAAAATAATTAGCCCCCTTAAGCAATATTTGTTTTCGATAGTCTACAGCTGTGGTTCTTAAAGTGGGGGTCGGGACCCCCCCGAGGGGTCGCGGGACAATGAAGGGGGGTGGCCTGGTGATTTAAAAAATCTATTTATTTTAATAAACCATAAGAATTACCATATTTTATCTAAAACCTAGTGAAGAGAAAAAATAATTGTTTATAGTTACTATATACTATATATTTACTATAGTAGCTTATAGTTACTAGTTCTATTGATAGCGACCCCTGGGGTAATTGCATTTTATTAAAGACACAGCAATATCGTCAGATGCAGCAGATTGATTTTATAACACCAAGTTAAACTTTCTGGCCCATTTACAGCACTGACATGCATAGCACTTTTTTTTTAACAAAGAATAGACTTGGGTCTATTGGTGTGTGCGCCATTGCATGCAAGGTTTCTGTATTTATAACCACCACAGAAGATTTTGGGGGTCGCGAGTCAATGGCATTGTCATTTTGGGGGTCGCGGGCTGAAAAGTTTGGGAACCACTGGTCTACAGAACAAAACATCGTTATACAATAACTTGCCTAATTGCTCTAACCTACCTAGTTAACCTAATTAACCTATTTAAGCCTTTAAGTGTCACTTTAAGCTGTATAGAAGTGTCTTGAAAAATATCTAGTCAAATATTATTTACTGTCATCATGGCAAAGATAAAATAAATCAGTTATTAGAGATGAGTTATTAAAACTATTATGTTTAGAAATGTTGAAAAAAATCTTTTTAAAGACCATTTTTAGAGATGTAAACAAAAACGATGGTCCAAACGTGTTTCCTGTTGTGCATTTTTAATTTTTATAGCCTCCGAGAATCCAGAAAGAGCTGCACATTTTGATAAATAATGCCATGATAGCTGTTTTAACATTAAGTTGTGATTGAATTGCCTCTTGTTACAGTTATGAAATAGTTTGATAACAAGCAGGACATTTTTAAGGACCTACAACATGACCACATTGAAATGGTCTATTAATATACAGGAGGTCTAATAATTCAGCAGGGCTAATAATTTTGACTTGTACTATATTTTTTTTTTCTGTCAGTATCACACACCTCTAACACAGGAACTATATTCTATTATTGATGCTTATTGTGTTTGTACCATAAAATAAATGCTGTGTTTGTTGTTGTGTGTGTGTGTGTGTGTGTGTGTGTGTTTATAGAGTTTACCTCCTGTACCACACCTGGAGTCAGGTGATTTATGGGGGCGTGGCTGGGCTCGTGATGGGCGTGGTTTGGTTTTTTATCACCCAGGAGGTGCTAACGCCACTCTTTCCCAAGATAGCAGCCTGGTAAATTACACACACACACACACACACACACACACACACACACACACACACACACACACGGACGTTCATAAACATGAATAATAAAGCAATTTACAGCAAATCAAAGGCACATTTTCACTGACTTTCTTTTTGTGTTCTCAGGCCGATCTCAGAGTTTTTCTTGGTGAGAGATACAAGTCTCATTCCCAACATCCTGTGGTTTGAATATACAGTAACCAGATCAGAAGCCAGGTAAACTCACTGACGCAATCACACTTTAGGTTTTTGAGAATGGTTACACAAAATAGGAAATATTTAATAGTTGACAGGAGGTGTTGTTTGTGTGAATAAATTAAATGTTCTGCCATATGCAAATGTTATAATTTTGAATGATGCTTTTGATTAATTTGGAATGTCTAAAAATTAATTAGATTTTAATAAAATTGTATAATAATAATAATAATTATTATTATTATTATTTTTAGCTAATTTGGGATGTCTAAAATCGTTGTTATAGCAGTATATTAATTTTATTTATTAAATTAGTAAAGTAACAAAATACAGAAAAAATAATAATAAAAAAATAAAGTGTATTTTATCTGAGGTTTGCAATCTAATCAGTAGTCTTTTATTTAAATGAATCATATATGTAAAAGAAAAAAATGGGCTGCACTTTTGATTATGTAGCTTAACTGAATAGGCTAGTTTTGGACTTTATAGGTAGGCCCACACGGAAACTGTGCACGCAGAATTTCACAGATTTTTAGCCCATCATTATTCTAATTATTTACTTGAGTAAATATGTGTAAATCTATATTTATTCAGTTTTTAAATTAATGACAGTAATATTATTGACTAATATGAAATTGTTCATCTGATTTATGTACAATGCAGTGTGTACAGTAATATTTTCTGTCTTTTAGTAGAGATATTATATGAGAGACTTGCTTTGTTTACCAATAGAGTGAATCTAATTGGATTTGCATTTTAAACATTAAATAAAAGTTGAAAGGATATTATTTTTATTTCACATATTATAGTTTTGGTTATGATACTCCCAAAATAATTCAGCTGAAATCCGCAGATTTTTACCAAAATTCTCCTCAGAAATGGCAAGAAATGTCCGCAGATTCCGTCTGGCGCTACTTATAGGGCTGTAGTAAATAGTTAACGCTTCATAATGTTTTTGTGAATTACCTTTCTTAAAAGATACTAATACTTGAAAATATTAATATGACTCCTTTAGATGTAAATAAGGTAAATGTGTACCTTTTTGATGGTTTTTACTTTAGTGACAACTTTAACACTTTATTTAGAGTTTATTATATCAAAGGTCCAAATAATGTCACTTTATTTAAAGGGAAAGTAAATAGTGTCATCTCTATAAAATGTGGCATCATTAACTTTGCTTTAAAAATGTGACATTACTTACTTGTTTAAAACATGATATTACTTCTCTTTAAAATGTGACATTATTTTAAAATGAAGTAAATGATATCTTATTTTTAAAGAAGTTATTAAAATCACGTTTTTAAAGGGAAGTAAATACCACATTAATAGTTATTTTTAACTAATGACATATTTATTAATGGAAAATTAATAATGTAATTTTTTTAATAATTACATTTGTAAATAAACAAAACATTTTAACCCTCTGGGGTCGAAGACCACGTATATGCGTTTTGACCTGTGGTGTTGTCAAACTGCTGAAATAAACTTAAATTACACTTTCAGTTTTGATCGTGCAGATGAGATCAATACATCAATCGAATCTGTTATGTGTCTACTTTTTGTTGTGTACACTCACAACAACAACAAACGTGTGTGCTTTTGCAAAATAAGGAAAACAAACAGTGTAGGCATTCTGTCTTTTCTCTCTCCGTGAACTGCTTTTAGAAACGCGTCAGTAAAATGCGCTGAAACTCCGCCAATACAAAACAGATGTCTCACACAGATGAGACATGTATTTCTAGAAAGCTTAAAGTGTCTACTTTTAAACGCAGCTATGCATGTTGAAAACAAACATAGCTTGATAAAGTAATCAGTATGAAACCAACGCTATGTCTAGTTTCTCAGTCTGATCTCATTAGTTTTAATGAGACCACGTCCACGAGGCTTTGTTATTACAAGCGTCTGAAGATGCGAGCAGACTGTGGTCAGAAAAACTCATCACTAAAATGTAGGGGTGTAACGATTTATCGTTGTACGATTTATTGCGATGCAAAAATGTCACAATATGCATCGTGGCGTTATGACGATTTGATTACGATATGACGTCGTTTATTAGTTGAGCTGTTTGCACGTGAGCTACGTTCCACCTGCTGTCGCACGTGAGTTCAGATTGCAGCAGCAGTAATGTTAGCAGACCAAGATGAGTGGAGTTGAAATAGAGGATGGCCCATCCTCTTAAAATCAGACGTCTGGCAACATTTCGGTTGTACAGTCATTGCTTTAAACTCGTCCGCTTTTTGACAAGCATACTGGGTCAAACATAGCCGAAGTTTTAAAGTCTTCACAGTGATTTACATACTTAGCACAGTGACAAGGATACCTCCTAATGGTGTTGAAAGAGTCACATACTGTATTTATAAGGTACAATTCACCCTAAAATATCATTCTGTCTTCATATAATGATGTATTTGCGACCACAAAATCACACATGACGTGAGCTGACCGTGAGCTGTTACTACAGAGGGCAGACTAAGATAGACGCGCGCGCTGCAGGTTGTGACTAACAGGTAATAAAGTAGTAAACAACATTCAGTTTGTGGAACAGAGTGATCGTTCAGGAGCTGCGTGGGAAGTATGAACAGCAGTGGAAATGAAACCGAAAGCGTGCACATTATTTAAACAATCATATCGCATTTTAGAGTTATGATTACGACGAACAAGAACTCTTGAGTACAGAGGTACACAAAAATGCACGTCAACATGATATACTTGATAGCGCCGAAATCAGCAACGCCGAAGAAATAGTAAACCTGCCTAAACTGCTGAAAAGAGTCACGACTGTGCTGTGTAATGAAAAGACGGCCACCCTGTCACTCATCATGCCCAACATGAAGACAGCCATCCATAAAAACCTCTCAGACAGACACACATTAGTTCAGGATTATTTTAAAGAACTGCTGATTACCTGGAAATGTAGACTTTTTTTTTTTTTTTTTTTTTGCACACACAAAAAACGCAAGTGACCAAGCAAAGCCTTAAGCTCTTATTGTTAAATTCAATTGAATTGAATCATTTCAATAATATTTTATAAGAAGTTTTTAAATTGTTTTATTTTCCAGAGACAGTCCCGTTTAATTTATTTTCTTAAAGAAGGTTCAGTTTAACAAGTTGAAACAAAAGAAATACATAAAAAATAGTTTACTTGGTAATTTAAATTTTTTTATTAAAATTTGCATTTCAGTTTAATTTTCTATTTTTATTCCAAATATCGTGATACATATCAAATCGTGAACATTATATCGGGATACACATTGTATTGTGAGCTGAGTGTATCGTTACACCCCTACTAAAATGAAAGGAAACTCGGCAAATAGTCAACAAAGATGATGATTTATGATATCTATATAAAGCTTGATATGTCTACTTTTGCATTAACCAATTCAAGTCGAAAACAAATGATCTCTTTTTATGTAATCCATATAAAAGTAAGGACTCCTATATCGCCTCATTACAGCAGCGTGGTCCCGCCTCTCAGTAAGCACTGTGCATATGTAAATCCAGATGTGAAAACAACGGAGGTAAAGGACCAGTGGCAAAGAGAGCTAAAGTAGACAAGAAGTGCTCCGAGTTTGCTCAGTAATGCGAGTAATTTGGTCTGTGTCATGCCGACAAACTATTAGATGAAGATGTAGTCTTCAACTTCACAAAAATGTATAAAATAACAACACAAATGTCAGTGCATGTCAACACTTCTCCAGAGCCCCAAAACACCCTCAGACCCCAGAGAGTTAAACATTTTAGAAGCAAGGTTGATAATGTGACTTTCAAATAATGTCATGTTTTATAGAAAGAAAGGAAAGAAGATAATATAATATTTTAAAGGAAATTTAATGATGTCACATTTTTAAAATAAAATAAATGACATAATATTTTTAAAGATATGTCACAAAAAATGTCACATTTTTAAAGAAAAGTAAATATCACATATTAAAGGAGAGTTAATAGTCATTTTTAGGCAAAGTTTTTTATACAAAGTTAATAATGTCACATTTTAAAGTAAATATATATAAATTAGATATAATATTTTAAAGAAAATATTAATGTCACATTCAAATATTATAGCATTTTAAAGCAAAGTAAATAATATCATATTTTTAAAGAAAAGTTAAATCATTTTTAAATAATGATACATTCTTTTAAAAACAAATTGTAATATTTTTTGAATAATGACATTTGTTAATAATGTCACATTTTAAAGTAAAACAAATTGTATAAAAATTTTTAAGAATTAATAATGTCAAAATTTAAAATATCACATTTTAAAGAAGAGTGTCATTTTTAAATAATGACATATTTTTAGAGGAAAATTACTGTAATATTTTAAATAATGACATTTGTAAATAATGTCACATTTTTAAAGCATGTCTAATAATGTCACGTTTTAAAGGAACATTAATAGTCATTTTAAATGACATATTTTTTTTATAAGGAAAATTAATAATTAAATATTTTTTTAATAATGACAATTTTAAATGTCACATTTTGAAAGAAGTTAACATGGTAATATTTTTAAAGGAAATTAATTTTTTTTTTAATTTTATCAAAAACATTATATATATATTTTTAAATAAAAGTAATAGTCACATTTTAAAAGGAAATAAAATAATAGCATATTTTTAAAGGATTGTTAATGATTTCACATTCAATAATGTCAAGTTTTTAAAGCAAAGTTCCACTTGTATTATTCCACAAATACATTTACCATTTTGTTACTTTGTTAAATTTAAAGTCACTAAATTACTCCTTCAGCGCTTCTTATTTATGAAAAGTGTCTCTAAACCTTTAACTTGCATTTTTCTTGTTTTTTTTTCTCACACAGAAACAGACAACGAAAGCTGGGAACGAAGCTTCAGTGATTTTTCTGCAAAAACAAAACAATGAAAACTGACACAAACACACACACACACAAAGCGCACACACACACACACACACACACACACTCTCAAACACACTGGAGTTTCCTCGTCTGGACTGTTCTGGTTGGTGTGAATTGCAGAACAGTGTACATGTGGACCAAAGGAGCAAATTTATATCGCAAGACGTGAGCATTTTCACACGACCCAACCGTTCGCACGACAACATGGCCTTCTCCTTCCTCCCCCGCGCTCCTAATGCATGCGGAGAGAAAAAAAAACAAAACTATTTAATGACAAATGTAATATATATTTTATTCATTAACACTCACAGGGAAGACCGCTGTGAAATGGGAGGACAGAATATTTTAGGAGGAGACAAACTTAACAGCATGGCATTACTTTTATTTAAACCACACGTTAAAGCAGCGGGAATTTAGTCTGGCTAGTGAAATCAGGAGAAAGGAGGAGGAGGGGAAGGAAAACAGAAACAAATGCAGCATTGATGGTAGACGATGGGGTGGGGGGGACTGATTTTGCTCATTTGTACATCTTCCAGAGAAATAAATCTACCAGGTGAATGACACCATGTGTCTGTTAAACATTTCACCACAAAATAATGAATAAATGGCTTTTATTTTTAGCGCTGGACGACGATTAATCACATAGAAGAAAAAAAAAAGTTTGTTTTTATGTAATATTTATGTTTGTGTGTGGTATATATATTTATTATGTATATGTAATACACACTCAAACATAAAACAAAACTGTACAAAATTAAAATATTTACATAGATATTTAAATTAGTGCTGTCAAAAGATTTGCAATCATATTTACAAAATATATCGTGTGTATTGTGTATATATTTTTTGTATATAAATACATGCATGACTATATTGTGTAAAATGTCTGTATATATATATATATATATATATATATATATATATATATATATATATATATATATATATATATATACTGTATATATACAGACACACACATGATATATAAATGTACATCATTTCTTTTGTATATTGTCGTATTTTATGTACAGTATGTTTTTGTATTTATTCATAAATACATATACACAGTACACACTTATGTAAATACAAACTTTCATCTTGTATGAGATTAATCTTTTGACAGCACTAATTTAAATGTATATGCAAATTGTATCATATAAATATTTCTAAATATGAAACAAAAATTCCTACTATGTTTACATGCATGTGTGTATTTATATAAGCGTAATAAATATATACAGTACACACACACATATATTATGTAAATACAACCCTTTATTTTCATATTTTCAATGTGATTAATCTTTTTGCCCAGCACTATTTATTTAGCTTTCAGCTCATTTATTAACATATCCAGATGTTTTATCAACACTGTAATAGTTTATTTTTTTAAATGGCATTTCAACTTTTTTTTTTCATCTTGTCATGAAAATAATAAAACTGAAAGTCCTAAACTAGGCTTGATTGGTCACACTTTACTATAAGCTTCCATTAGTTAATGTATTTACTAACACAAACTAAGAATGAGCAATACTTGTATTTGTTAGTTCATTAATGGATTATTAAAATACAAAATTAGTCTAAAATGTGTTTTTTAATGCATTAAAATAATTTTTTTAAATGAGTTCATCAATGCATTAAAATAATTTTTTTAATGAGTTCATTAATGCATTATAAAATAATTATTCAAATTATTCATTATTAAGATAAAATATTACTTTATTAATCCATTATTAAATTACAAAATTAGTCTAAAATGGGTTTATTAATGCAATAAAATTAAAAATTTTAAATGAGTTCATCAATGCATTAAAATATTTTTTTAAATGAGTTCATTAATGCATTATAAAATAATTATTCAAATTATTCATTATTAAAATAAAATATTACTTTATTTATGCATTATTAAATTACAAAATTTGTCTAATTATTTCATTAATGCATTATTAAAAAACAAAATTAGTTTATTAATGCATTAAAATACAAAAATTTTTAATTAATGCATTAAAATACAAAGTTAGTCTAAAATTATTTCATTAATGCATTATTAAATTACAAAATGTATTTGAAATTAGTTTATTAATGCTTTAAAATACAAAATTAATTTAAAATTAATGCATTAAAATACAAAATTTGTTTAAAATTAGTTTATTAATGCATTAAAATACAAAATTTGTTTAAAATTAGTTCATACATACATTATTAAATTACAAAATTAGTTTTAAATAGTTTATTAATGCATTAAAAGACAAAATTAGTTTATTAATGCATTAAAAGACAAAATTAGTTTATTAATGCATTAAAAGACAAAATTAGTTTAAAATAAGTTCTTTCATGCATTATTAAACTACAATATTAGTTCATTAATGCATTTAATAAAATTCAAAATGAGTTCATAAGTGCATAATTAAAATAATAAATATTTTATTAATGCATTATTAATATACAAAGTTGTATTTGTTAACATTAGTTATTGCACTGTGAGTCAAGAACTAGCAACGCATGACTGTAATTTGATTAATGTTAACAAAGATAAATAAATACTACAATAAATGTTACAGTTGTTCATTGTTTATGTTAGTAAATGCATTATTAACTAATTTAACTTTATTGTGAAGTGTGACCACTAAATTACAATATGGCCATAAATAAGTCACTAAACATAATAAATAGTAAGAAAAATTACTTTATTTTGCAACCGGTTTTCTAGAGATTGGCCTGTTAAAGAGACAGTACACCCAAAAATAAGCATTGCCTGTTACTTCTCTCACTCTCAGAACATCCAAAGTTATCTTTATTTTGTCGTTTATTTTGTTCAACCTCAAAATTGTAGCTAAAACTGTGGTCTTGTGTGTTTTATAAAATGCTGGTCAACTTTCAGAGTCCAAAAACACCAAATTAATACCCATGGCTGCCGAGAATACACTCAGTTTGTATGTAAATAATGTTTGTTTCTTGTACAGGCAGATTATTTCACTTCATAAGGTCTTGATGCATCATTAGGAGGCATGCATATTAATTTAGTTTTGTCTGTATGTTGTTTTGACTCTCAAAGCTCTCATTATATGAATCACCAAGTGGTTTCAGCTCAAAATCAGTTCAATAAGGAAAACCTACATCTTTGATGATCAGTGTAAATGAAAAACCACTAAATATTTTGCTTCATAAGGCCTCAGTGTATCATTAGCAGGCATGGGTATTAATTTAGTTGTGTCTGTATGTTTTGTTTTGACTCTCAAAGCTCTCATTATTTAAATCTCCATCATGTTTATAATGAGGAATACCTATATCTTGGATGGTCAGTGTAAGTGAATAACAGCTAATTTGCATATTTTTAGGGTGTACTATCCCTTTAAATAGTTTGAAGTAAATTAATTTGAACTTTGTGAATTCAACACTAGTGTTTTTGATTATTGTTTTCATAGGGAAACTGTTTGTTTATTACATGCATCTTTTTAAAGGTGTTGCTGAACATGTAGTTTTTACAACTACTTCCAGGTTCATTAATCTCTGGTGGTGCTGGGAACAAAAATTAGGTCATGGGAACAAATTTAGTGCCTGTTTTTGGCCAGAATGTTGTAGTACTTTTGTTTCAACCTCATTTGCGTTAGCTAGTACTTGTAAGAGTATGTTTTTAGTTTAATTCTGCATTGTCTGACTACTCAAACTCCGTTTTCACCTCCGTTGTGTAACGTTTATTCAGGCAGAAATCAATCAATCATTCCTTTTTGTTAACAATACCAATCAACGATCTCGAATGATGCGTTTCTGACAGGGCAGGAAAGCAGCTCAGCTTTTTATATGAACGTTTATTGTATTTTTTTATTTTATTTTTGACCCGTTTTTGTGGGCAGGATGATTGGATTTCTCATCTGACATCCCTGCTGTTTTTTTTTTCCACAAGATATTTGCATTTCGGGTATTTAAGGACGCATTTGCAAGCGCTACAACAATATTACATGACAAGTGGAAATACGAAAAGGACACAAATAATTCGATCCCGATCCTCAGGTGAACTCTAGCATGTGCCGAGGCCTCTGCTCTTTTAGGACGATGTAGAAACTGTCTGTGACGGGGTGTTCATATAAAGGGAAGGGAGGTTATTGCATAACTCGTAAGATGATCCTCTCTTTTATGTGTAATTCATATCAGGCTGAATAAAGAAAAAATATGTTTATGTATGAAGTGTGCCAGTTATTCGTTGCAAATGTGGAATTAGAGATTTTTAGGGATTTTAAAATATGGGATATACACTCACCGGCCACTTTATTAGGTACATCTATCCAGCTGCTCATTAAAGCAAATTTCTAATCAGCCAATCATATGGCAGCAGCTCAGTGCAGTTAGGCATGTAGAGATGGTGAAGACAATCTGCTGCAGTTCATACCGGGCATCAGAATGGGGAAGAAAGGGGATTTAAGTGACTTTGAACCTGGCATGGTGGGCGCAAATGCCTTGTTTGTGCCAGAGGTCAGAGGAGAATGGCCAGACTGGTTCCAGCTGATAGAAAGGCAACAGTAACTCAAATAAGCACTCGTTACAAGCGAGGTCTGCAGAAGAGCCTCTCAGAACGCACATCCTGTCCAACCCTGAGACAGATCGGCTAACATATTGTGCCTTTAAGCTCTTAAAAAGAGCAGAAATTATGTTCATTTGTTAAAGTAAATTTATGTTGCATATATTACAAAAACATCTTGTTTTAATATGCTCAAAATATGTTTTTTGTTTAGTCAACACATGCATGAAACAAGTGAGGTGTCAATAAAAGGTACTAAACAAGCATGTTGTTTAACGCATGTAGAAATTTTTAAAAGTATTTCCTATAATATTTTTTCTTCTGGAGAAAGTCTTATTTGTTTTATTTCAGCTAGAATAAAATAAGTTTTTAATTTTTTTAAAAACATTTTAAGGGTAAAATTATTACCCCGCTTAAGCTATATTTGTTTTGGATTGTCTACAGAACAAACCATCGTTATACAATGACTTGCCTAATTACTCTAACTTTACCCTAATTACCTGAGTTAGGCTTTTAAATGTCATTTTAAGCTGTATAGAAGTGTGTTGAAAAATATCTAGTCAAATATGTGCTGTCATGATGGCAAAGATGAAATGAATCAGTTCTTAGAAATTAGTTATTAAATTTATTATGTTTAGAAATGTGTTGAAAGAATCTTCCCTCTGTTAAACAGAAATTGAGGCAAAAATATACAGGGAGGCCAATAATCCAGACTTCAACTCTACGTCTGAGAAAACCAGGCGATGTGCTCTCTGATCCCCTTAAGCATCCAAACTCTCTGCAAAAAAGTTCCCATCTTTATAGATAAATTTGGGTCCTGGCCAAATATCGGCCGTCCAAGTGAAAGAGAAAGATCTAATTAGAAAAAAATGGGTTCATTGTGAGGCCACAAGAGCAACGTCAAACAGCAGCTGCATTTTGAGGAAATCCATTGTGTTGTTTTTACCATCTGTATCAAGCGCAGCACAGTTTTCAAGGCCACTAAATTCCCCTCCATTCATTGAGCATATCACTGGAGAAAAACAACCTCTTTTACAACAGCTTTACATCAAAATACGTTCACTTTTACTGTTGAAAA